GTTGTAGGTTACGTTGCCGATGCTGCCGCCAAGATCGACCTTACCCTCGCCAAACTCAATGTCGCCAGAGTCACCATCAGAAATCTCGGCGTCCTTTCGGGCAAGAATCAGAATATCATGACTAAATAGAGTCAGCTTACATATTCAAAAGGCAAATAAAGAACAACTTACGTCTTCTTGGTATTGTGTCTAAAATCAGATCGGTTACCCCACATGAAAGCAATATCAGGAACAAGGTCGCTCTGGATGCCCTCGGAGTTGCCAAAGTTGTCCATAAGCCAATCGTAGCTGGGCTTGTCACGAGCAGCCAATTGTAGATCGTGGTGCTTGTTAAAAGACTTGCGTGTCTTCTCAATCCTCTCGGGGTTATGCATGTAGATACTCTGGGGGAAAGCTCGAATGGAGATGTTCTGGAAGTTTTCAATCATGTTCATTCGCGAAGGTTGGTCCTCCCAGTAGTAATCGTTAAAGTTACCACCACCAGCCATGATGATACCAGAGTGGGGACGGTGCTCCTCAAGCTTCTGGCGGAACTTTTTGATGTCGCAATCCTTGTACATAAAGCTGTATCACATCAGTATCACTGACGTTGTTTAACGTGACAGATATATCTTACCGGCAGGCTTCCATGGTTTCAATTCCAAGAATGCTGAGCAGAATCTGCTGGGCGGACCAGATGGCAGCGTCGCCCTTGTTCTCCGTCTCGAGATAACCCCAGATGTTGGCGTAACGGATTCCCTTGAAACGCTCTTGGTAGGCGTGGATGAGGCGCTGCTGGAGGTCGTTGACAATGTTCTCGCAGCCCGCGGTGGGTGGTCTCGTCAAATCGTAGGAGATATCTCTGTTGGGATCCTTTGCATCCTCGGCGTCCTCCTCGCCAGCACCAACGGCGCCAGCAACGTCTGTGGGCTTTGGAGGTTCGTCGATAGTAGCATTCTCGCCTTTCGAAGGCCAGTGCCAATCTGTGCTTGGTAGATGTTCTTTGAAGCTCTCAGGACCTTGGTAAGATACCAAGATAGCGAATACGAAGAGCACAGCAACCACGGCTAGCGCGATGCGTGCGAAGCGGTTCATCGCTGGAAGCATGATGATGGACTCATAGAATGTAGGTTAAAGTTAAGGTTGGGGATTAAGGAGCGTAACACCCGGATATCTCTATCGCGGGTTGGTGAGGAAAGAGCAGAAATAAGGTTAGAAAGAAGACAGAACGATGATGAAATGGAAGAAGGAAAGGAAACAGATCAGATTATTAAGTCAACATCTCGAAACGTCTTTCGAATAAAAAAGAAGCGGATGTGACCCCCCATCCCATCCCATCTCATCCTAGTCCCATCTCCTGGTTACAGTCCTCCACTCGGGCGATTCGATGGATGCATTCAAAGTGCGCCACCACACCCATGACCCTCTTAGCAAGGATGCCAACTCTGTCTGTGCCTGAGCCTAAACTACGTGTCTGATCGCTGTAACCCCTTTTCACTCCACTAACCAATTATGCAATTATGCATCATATCCACACAAAGCACGCCTCGTTATCTCCGGTGCTGCATCGTCAGCATGCATATGATCATAACCGATAGTTGCACTTATTGACTCTTACGCGGCGCAAGAAAAACAGTGGGCAAGTACTCTACCAGGATATGTGTGACATGTAGCCAAGCCAGAAGCCCCCTTTTTTGCTCATTCTCCCATTGCATCGATTGCCTTGGCTTGCACCGTTCAGTTACAGTTGCACACCCTTCCTTCTTTTTTTCCAATCTTCTATTTTATCCCTATCCACTAGACTTGGCATCTCCACGCTGGCCTTCTGCCAATTGACCGGATCGATTTAATTTGGAGACCACATCACAACCGGCTCTCATTTCTTGTCGTGTCTTGTCCTGTCCCGTGCATCGCTTATCCTCTTCTCTTCTTGAATTCGTCACTTTTCTTATCGCGCGTTGAATCAAATCTGAACGACTCCCTGCCGTTCGTCCACTCTTTTACAAGACCTCACCGTTTGCGATCGACGTCTCGACACAACCATGGCCGACCAGAATAAGAAGAACGACGACTTCGTGGCCAAGATGCCCGAGGTCGCCAACGAGAACAACATTGGTGATGGCGAGAAGGAGAACGACTCTCTTGTTGGTCGTGGCCCTGGCACTGACGCCCTCCCTGCGCAGCCTGGAGGCTTCACGGCCAAGATTGAGAACAGCGGACCTTTCTCTATCCTTGCCTACTGTCTTTCCTCTATTTCCATGACTGTTGTTAACAAGTATGTCGTTTCTGGCACTTCATGGAACCTGACTTTCTTCTATCTTGCAGTTCAGGTAAGCTTTCGTTGTGCCCCGCGTTTTAGAAATGCAGTCTAATTTGGTATTTGAATTTCTAGTCAATTGTATGCATTGTTGCCATCACAGCATGCAAGCAGTTCGGCATGATCAAGTCCCTTGCTCCTCTGGAGATGGACCGCATTAAGAAGTGTAAGTTCTGGTCCCTATGTGCCTTGCATGGGCAATGGCTAATGCGATCATGATCAGGGTATCCTATTTCGCTCGTCCTTGTTGGTATGATCTACACCAGTACCAAGGCTCTTCAGTACCTCTCCGTGCCTGTCTACACCATCTTCAAGAACTTGACCATCATTGCCATCGCTTATGGTGAGGTTCTCTGGTTCGGAGGTTCTGTTACATCCACCGCTCTCGCCTCGTTCAGTCTCATGGTTCTCAGCTCCGTCGTTGCTGCTTGGGCTGATATCAAGAGCGCTATCTCTGGTGACTACAGTGCTACCACTGGTGATGCCGATGCGCTTGCCACATTGAACGCTGGTTACTTCTGGATGGCTATGAACGTTATCTGCTCAGCCTCTTATGTTCTGGGCATGCGCAAGGTCATTCACAAGATGAACTTCAAGGATTGGGACAGTAAGTACACTTTATGAGACGGCACCATCTCGAAAAGCCTTGACTCGATAGAAAATCGCTAACATCTTGCCAGCTATGTACTACAACAACTTGCTCACCATTCCCGTCCTCGTCTTCTGCTCGCTCGTCACTGAGGACTGGTCCAGCGCCAACTTGGCCAAGAACTTCCCTGAAGATACCCGTAACCGCATGATGATCGGCATTATCTACTCTGGTCTTGCTGCTATCTTCATTTCTTACTGCTCTGCTTGGTGCATCCGAGTTACCTCTTCCACTACCTACTCTATGGTCGGTGCCCTCAACAAGCTGCCTATTGCTGTCTCCGGTCTCATCTTCTTCGCCGCCCCCGTCACCTTCGGATCCGTTTCAGCTATCTTTATTGGTTTCGTCTCCGGTATCGTTTATGCGTGGGCCAAGGTCAAGGAGAACGAGGCCAAGAAGAACGCTCTTCCCACCACCGAGAACCGAGATTCGTCAAAGTAAAATCGGCATCGAAGTGGATCGTAACTGTCAATTGAAGTTACTTCAAGCATACACCGAAAGCTACTTAGCCATTCAGCCACAATTCTGGCCAATCTTTACTCCTAGTCTGGTTATACCAGCAAACGACAATTATGTACCTATCCATGGTAATTGAACGACCAACGTAATGTAGACATTTTTTTGTATAACGTCTGGAGCAATAGCTCAAATTTTGATGGGGTTTATGGTGTCATTTAAAAGCGTTTATAGACCTGATTCAATACAAAGTCTCTTAATCCTTGCATTGCCTGGTATTCACTATCTTTGACTTGACTTATTCTTCATGACAGACTATGGGAGTTGGGCGATAGGCACAACTGAGGTCCATGACGTCGTTATCAGCAGAAGATATTTTCAGCCCTGTCGTATACAATAGCGACTAGCCAACGTTTGAAGGCGCGGTTCGTGTCCTTGGCCTAATCTCACATAGCATGGCATGTTGCACAAAAGATAGCTGCATATGTCCAACGTTACATCTCACGCATAGTTTCTTCAACAGTCGTGTACTCCGATCCCCATAACTTACACAGTCCCGAGTCAACGGATTGCCTTTCACCAGTAACCATCTGAAATCATATAAACACCCTAGCTCGAGACACATCGAATCCATATCTATTTTCATAACAATCACCCTCTTTTGTGCCAGAGCCTGAAGTTACCTTCAGCTAAAAACCGTCATTTTTCGCTCTCAACCCCGATTGAAGCATATGAACAGCCACAATCTCCTGTGTAAATCTGACATTGTGCACTTGTGGAGGCACAGCTTCATTCTTCACACCCCCCTTTCCAAGAGCACAGCCAGCATGGCGCAAGCCTACTAGCAGAATAAAAAGCAAATGTCCGTTTCGAACCGGGGCTTCCACACAGTTTCCAGAGCGGAAATAACAAAAGGAGATCCGCCCACTACAGGTGACTTAGCCAGGAGGCGATGCTATCCAGGGGCTACTAGGAAATTTCGTTCCTGACTTAGTGCTGAACTTATTTAGCGGCTGGACCCTGAGATGGGGATATCAGATGGAAATCATCCATGGCGAGGAAATGCAATTTCGGTCTTTTTTCCCATGATTCTGCTGGTTTCTTCACTTATCTCCTTAGGTAGTCAATGGATACAGCGGTAGGGCTAATATAGTGCGGGATTAGGCCTCCAGTTGAAAAGATGAAGCAAGCTAGAAGAATACCATCGGATCTTTTGATCCATCAAGTTGAGTGGGTTTCGGGTGTTTGTTTAATCTTTGGTCCAGAGTGACATACTCATAGTAGGACCTTCGAATAGAGGCACAGGAGATGTCAACTGTCTCAATATGGAAAGGATTTCAGCGTGGTAAAACAGCAGCACTGACATTTCTGGCTCACGAAAAGGATACAAAGTCTCATAGAATCATACAACTCTTTGAACAGTGAGTTAATCAAAACCCAAAAACGTTCTCATTTTCATCTATCAAATCAAAAACGTAGATCTCATTATACGCCGTGCCATGCCGTTCAATCAATAGCAGATTCCTCCTTGGAACCTGTCTAAACTTTTCCATCCTAGTCGTTCATCCTGCACAGCAAACTCCTGTGCGCAAAAGCGCTCTATACGCTGATCGTCCTGAAGACGCTGAACTCCTCTCCCGTGGCGACCAAGCTTCCCGTGATATGGGGGTGCCAGTGTACCTCCTTAACGTCCTTCAGGTAGTGCACGAACAGGAGCTGGGGCGGCACATCCTTGACGCCGGCTGTGTCCTTGCTCTCCTCATCATCCAGCTCGACGGCCAGATCCCACAGGGTAACAGTGTTGTCGGCGGCGGCAACGGCAACAATAGAGTCGTCGGTGGGATGCCATTCGACACTGGTGATCTGCTCCTTGTTGAAGTTGAAGCTGGCGATGGCCTGGGGCTTGTCAGAGCTGGCCTTCCACTGGCGGAGATCCCACACGGCCCAGGTACCGTTGTCGTCACCGGAGGCGAGGAGGTGAGTTTGCTGGCGCGACCAAGACATGACGTTGACATCAACATTTGACACCTGCATGGTGATGGCAGCCTTGCGAGACTTGGATCGCACGTCCCAGATGCGAACGGTGCCGTCACTTGAGGCAGAGGCAAATACAGAAGCCTCGGACGGCGACCACTGCAACTCCTCAACACTGCTCTGGTGGCCCTGGAAAGGTCGGTTGTCAGTGACCCAGCCACCTCCGTCGGTGCGTGTTGTCACGTAGATGAGACCATCGTTGTCACCGGTAAGGAGCTTGCCGTTGGGGGCAAGGGGGGACCAGTCAAGAGCGTAACCCTCAGTCTTGTGTGCGCGGATGGTAGAGATAGGCTTGTTCTGCTGAGCGGAAATGGTAGTACCAGGGTTATCGAATGAGGCAATGTGAGGAGTAATGTCGTGGATGAAGACATTGCTAGACTCGGTCATGGTGGCAGTGAGAGTCGTTCCAGGTCGCCCAGCCTCCTGGCCAGGAATCTGGTGGGCGCGGATACGGTTGGTGGTAGAGTTGAGAGGAATCGACTTGCTCTCCAGGATAGGATCAGCATCTTCGTCATCATCGTCTTCCGAGTCGGAACCCTCATCGCCGCGGTCCATCTTGCTAAGACCACTGAACTTCATAACCATAATCTGATTGTCTGAGTCCTTTCCGGTCTCAGCCTGGGTTCCAGAGACGGTGTACATGGTGGCAGGGTAAGCCTTGCGGTTGTCGCCGAGGTTGTCGCGGAGAATGTCGAAGGAGAGGCATGGCCAGGGAGTGCTGAGGTTGTGCAGCATCTCGTAGGTGGTCAGATCGGGAGCAAGGGTTTGGCCAGGCTCGAGTTTGCTTCGTCCGACGATAAAGGTTCCTTGGTCTTGGTCGACTTCCATAGCGTCTGCAATCGCAATGTTAGAAACCATGTTGCTCGTTTTCATGTCAAATGGATAGCTTACCCTTCTCCTCAGCCTCTCGCTCAGCATCAGGGCGTCCATCAACACCAGCCTCGAGAATCTCATCCTCGCTCTCGAACTCGTCCTCGAACTCATCTTCAAACTCGCCCATCTCCTTGTTGTTGTCGTCAATGTCCATCTGCTCAGGACGGTCGCCGCCCTTGAGCGCATCGCCGTGATCGGCCTCAGCGGTTCGCTTCGCCATTATTTCGGATTAATGTGGCTGATTGTTGGAATTGTTTGTGGTGATATACAAAAAAGACTGAATTTTTGTTATCGCCGTCTTTTTTTGGTGCCCCTCCAAGGATGGCAGAAAAAATAAATTAGGGACTAAAAGGAACCCCGCCATGACGCGGGGCTGTAACCGAAGATTTACCGGCGCAGAATCGAACAATAAATACAAATGCGATAGATCAATAAGATGAAATAAGATAAAAATGATACTGACAAGACATTTTCAGTCGCAAATTGAATATTCAAGATTAACCACTAAACTGTTACGTGTCTGGTTTTGGATTACATGAAGTGTCACACAATGTAATCTCATTCATTTAGCCTTGATCAATAATACCCTGTAGAGTGAGTACATACAAAAGTACTACTGCTGATAAATTCATGCAACGCCCCATATCACCCGTTCGGTCGTATTCGCAGATCCGGAACTATTGATTCCAAATGGTTTGACAAGCATTGAATATGTACATGATGTATATACCCTTGCCTCGGCTCCAACATGCATTTGGATTGGGTCATTTTTAATTCTGCTTTTGTCAGCGTCCACTTACTGTTGATGGTTCCCGGCACTCGGGGCAGAGAACTTCCCACGTCATTTACGCCCTCCGAAATTTCACGATTAATACAGTAACGGATTGATTGTGTCATATAGCCTGGCTTGTTCATCACCCACCGACTCCCGGAGATTTGTTTACTGTACACTAATCAAATCAATGTAATCGCCTGAAACCTTGGCTGGAGCTTCTAGAAATTCTACACCTTACTCACTCATATATAAACCATAATATCCACTTAACTTTAGATCCAAACTCGCATTGTTTTCTTTCTACTTCCAAAACTACCCCTCCATCAAAATATTTATATAAATCAATTCCCCCTCTACTCCCCCACCAAAACCCCTCAAACTTCCATCACCACCAAAACACCAACCTAAACCTCACACAACCTCATCCGAAATGGCCGCCCCTTCTGACTCTGTCGTCGTGGAGATCACCTCCAAGGCTCAATTCGACGAGCTTGTCAAGAAGACCCCCTACGTCGCCCTCCAGGCCTCCGCCTCGTGGTGTGGTCCCTGCAAGGCCATCTCCCCCATCTTCAAGAAGCAGGCCGCCGAGCACACCTCGGAAAAGTTCGCTTTCGCCAAATTCGACACCGACGATGTCCCCGACCTCGCCTTTGAGATGGGCATCCGATCCATCCCCGCCTTCTTCTTCTTCGAGAACGGCGACAAGGACAGCGACCTGATGGGTGCCGTCCCTCCCAAGCTGACTGCCGCTATCGGTGGCTACGCCAAGAAGGCCAAGGGTGGTGATGAGGAAAAGCCTGCTGAGGACAACACCCTCAAGACCGATGAGAACTTCTAAACGAGAACTTTTCTCAAAGAACAAAAACATTACAAAGCAACGGCTCTAGAAGCGCAGGTTCGCAAGGATACCCCTAGAAACGAGGCGCACCAGACAGGCAGCATATATCACCACAATTCCACAGATCACCATGAGCTAGGAATACGACTTTAGCCATGCGAAAAGCATAGTTTTAAGTAGGATGGCCCGCGCCGGTTAGCTAAGAATAGATCACATTTTACTTCACCGCATGATTTAGTTGTGAAACTCAGTTGTAGTCTTGGTCCTTTTGAACTATGTGGTATTTCCAGTTGTATATACAGATAAATCAAGTAAATAAATGTTCGCTGTGGCTTGCTAAGCGCAGTGTAATCCGAGAACGTATCTCTTTGCTGTAATCTCGGATCTCATACCGTCATCATACTCTTCTCGCTTCTCGAGAGTCCTCTTATCAACCACCTTTTTCAATCCTCCTCCTAACCAGATTTCTGTTGCTCCTCTTCGAAAAAAAAAAAAAACCAAGTGTGCTATGGTACATGTGTTGCGCACCGATACTCCATCAGACGCCTCTCCAAATGGTATACGGCCTGAGCCTAAAATAGACTAACAACCAAAAACGCCAACCCCTTTGTATACTGTTAATATCAACCAACTCCAAACCATCATTCAATGTTATGGCTGAATAGAAGTCGCCGACTCGTCACTTATACGTCCAACGCCAGAATCCACCCGCTTCTTAGTCGGGGTTATCTGCTCGGGTGTATCGACTTCCTCTTCAACCAAACTTTTGCTATCGCCCTGCACCGACAATCTCGATGTCAACCGAGGCCCTGCTGATCTCCGTCGGTTGGTTACCTCCTCGCGACTAGGCTTTGAGTCATTCATACCCAGACTCATCCTTTGGGATGACCGGTCCTTGACGCTGAGGAAGTCGCTCCCTGGACGACTTTGGCCCGGGTTCGGAGATCCGTTGGGACTCGACAACACGGAAGAGTGACGGTTGCTCTGACGGGTACTTCTCCATCTGCTTAGATTCCAGAAACTACCTTCTCGATCGTTCAAGCCGTCCGAGTCAGACGCGCTGATAAGACTGAAACTCGGTGTTGGTGGACTTGTGATACTGTTACTTCTATCACGGTCATTCGAAGCTCTAATCGTGGTACGGTGCGACAAGCCACTGCCAGCGGGACTTGTTGGGGCAGGACGAGTAATTAGACTCGATGCGTAAGGCTGTTTTCGAGACTCTGCCGCCAGCTTTGCAGCCGAATTGACAGGTGACTGAGCCTGCTTACTTGGTGACATGGACCGTTCGCTTCGTGCTGGGGCGGGGGCTAGACCGGGTCGCCCTCCATCGATATCTTGTCGCCAACTGTTGATTCTGTCGGAAGCATGCTGAAGTTGAATAGGGTTGGGACCAGGAATAGTGAGCGATCCACGCCTAGACTGTACACGACTGCTAGCACTCGTTCTGGTCATGACACTTCCACTTCTACCAACGCCAGACAGGCGATTGGACAATCTAGAGCCTGACTCCCACAATCCCTGCTGCCTTTTCTTATGGGCGCAGTCCTGTCGGAATACTTTGATCTTGCCCGTTCTGTCAGTAGTGATGATAATGTTTCCGTCAAGGTGCCTGGAACGCTCGACATATGCGGGTGTTTCTTCCGGGCGCTTGTTGCTATGAAGGGAATCGCCGTTCTCTTCCTCGGACGGAGCTGACTGGCTCGGCGTACTCTCCTCGAGACTTCTTAAGGTCACAGGTGGTGGGTTGCAGAGGTCGTAGATGGGATCGCCCGAGGCACTCAGCAGCTGCCGACTCTTCATGGGTGCCATCAAGGCTGTGGTGACAACTTCAGGGTGGGCATCAAACGATTCGTATGGTTGCTTATCCTTGATGTCATCCTGGGAACCGACCTTCCAGATATATGCTTTGCGATCCTCACTTCCACAGATGATGTAGTTGGCGTCGTCGCTGAAGCGTGCATTGATCTGACTTGACTGGTTCTCCAACCCTTTATACTTGGCCTGGATCACCTTGTCGTTTAGGTTGTAAATTCGAACTCGAGAATCATTAGAAGTAACAAGAACCTTGACTTGCCCAGCTTCAGGCCCCTCTGGGATGGTCATGGTTCGAATGCCCGTAATCTTGCTTCCTTTGGCATTCTTACCTCGCGAGGACCGCACATGGATTTGATATTTGAGCTTCAGTCCTTCGGTAGTATAGAAAGTGCACAAGCCACTCAGTACACCGCAGATGGCTATGCTACCATCAGGGGAGAAGGCCACAGCGGTGATGAACTCACCCACCGGCGCTTGGAAAGCCACGTTCTTGTCTGGGATACTCCATAATCGCAGTTGCGCATCCAACGATCCCGCAAGAAAGAACCGATCATCCGTAGGGTGGAAGGCGATGGATGTAACCAAATCCTTGTGAACAAAGGTGCATAGGCAATCATTCCTGCTCGTATGCCACAGCTTAACAGTCTTGTCCATTGAGGAAGAGAGTAAAAAGTTGTTCTTGCTCCAACTTAACGCAAGTACCTCGCCTGTATGTTCCCTGAATTCTCGCACAGGCTTGGTGCGGAAAACCGGGGCACTGAGCTTCTCGCCATGAGTACCATGTTGCGCCTCTTCTTCCTCGTGTTCCTTGCGTTCCTCAGGGGTTGAAATAACTGCAAACACGCGCACGATCTGATCCTTTCCTGCAACGGCTAGGTATCGTCCATCCAAGCTAAATTCGGCCGCCCAAATGGCATCACCACCTCGGAGGATTTTGCTCCCAACTGCTGTTGCTACCGCTCGACCGTGAGTATTTTGTGGCTTGTGTTCAGAGGCGGTAAGTTCTTGCGCGAGGAACAAGTGGTTATACTCTCTTTCTTTCTTGTTGTGCGCCTTGACTCGGATATATCGCGGAGGTTCCTTGTGTAGTGGTATGTAACCACCGCCTGCGCCCATGACGGACGTGAGAGCTCGAGCATACGCACCGTCGGTTCGTAGTTCACCCAACTCGGAATCAGAGTCCAACACGTCATCATCTTTCCTCCAACTTCCGCGCATTCCCAGTCGGCTAAGGAAAGACACTCCTTTCCTCCGATCCTTGCTAGAATCCTGGGGGTTTCCAGCAGAATTGCTGACTTCTGAGCTTTGCCTCTGGATGTTGTCACTTTCAGACCGACCCTGACTTCGAAGCCGTTGCGCAATAGTAGGCTCTGCGGTATTGCTGTTGGTTCGCAGGTATATTTGCTAAGCGTCCGCGTTAGTTGTGGTCTTGCCACACTCCCAACCGGTTACAAATACTAACCGTACTTAGAGGGTCAAGTCCAGCATTGGGAGGGGGAGTTGGTGAAATAGATTTAAACGAAGGCCTCTTGTCCTTTGCTTCTTTTGCATTCTGAGAACCGGACAAAGATGGTTGTGTAGTCGAGAGCCTGCTCGATGGGAGGTCCAGGGAAGTACCAGCACCTTTGACTAATCGTAAGCTTACAGAGTAATATAGTAGCATGTATAGGCAGCTTGATATTGGCCAATAAATTAGAACCTGAGGTGCGTATGAAGCTCCAGTAACAACAAGTCCCTGCATAAGCTGGACTAGAGCAGACATGCGCTTCGGTTTTTCAACAGTAGGGTA